GTGTGTGTGTGTGTGTGTGTGTGTGTGTGTAGTGGAGGGAGTATATGAGCAAGTGACACCTACCCCAACCCTGTCATAGGGTTAATGAGGACCCTAGGTATTTGGTTGTTCCTGGTCAGTGAAGTTCATGCTTCTAGGTACCTAGACTGGTGAGCCCTGACCTCTGACCCTCAAGCAAGTCTGCCCAACCTTTTGTAGCCACCCATGGTATAAGTCCTAAGAACTGTGCACCCTATAGTATTCTCTCAGGGTCCAGTCTCTGCACCTTTTAGTGTCTTTGCCCTGTAGCTAGCTGCACCCACACCCTGATCATGGTCACTAGCATCCTCCTTGTGATCAAATTCTAGATGTTTGCATTTACTCACCACCATCTACTCATTTGTCCATTCATTTCTGGCCTGCAGACCAACTCTGAACCATACAATTGAAGCAAAGTGATCCTCACCTTGGGTTAAGTGCTTTAAAGGACAGGCAGTCTCAGAGCCAGCACTGGGAGCCCAGCCAGCAGGGTGGGCACACAGTCCCACACCTCTGTGTCTCTCTACACCATCTCTGGAATATGTGGGTCTGGCTGGGTCCCACCACACTGTGTGTTTTCTGCTGAAGTTTCTTCTTTTGTCACTGTATTTTAAACATTTTGTACATTTAAAACTATTCTTGTTCATCATGCTTTACTAGTGTGTGTGGAATCCCTTCCAGAAAATGCACTCTAATTTATTTATTCAAACCTGCATTGGCCTCTTATACTGGCCACAGCCAGGTAGCTGGACTCTAGAGATGCAGCTTCCCTCTCATACACATACCCCAGCAAGTTCTCAGCTCTAAGGATGGCCATCTCTGCAGAGGTTGTTTCAGGGCCCCTTCTTGTCTACCCTCTTCACATAGCTTCCAGCCTTACCAGCTAAGTCTAATAGTCTTCCCTATCTCTGGGTGGGGTCCATATCCTTGCCCTGGTGTGGGAGGATAGAGACTGAAATGATGGTGGCACTGACCTGCCTTGTTTGATGGCAGTCTGATGCCTTGTTCTGATGGAGGCTGCCCATGGCCCCTGATGACCCTCCTTAGGGTAGCCATACCCAAGTAGTGGGGCCAGGAGGCAGGCGCTATTGGTTGACCTTCCTAAGCAGCCTTGGGGAAATGCTGAGTGGACGGAAACCAGAGTTCCCAGGTCAGCCCAGTTGGGCCTGGTACACAATGAGCCCCATTCAGCATTCTGATACATGGACCTGGGCTGATCTGGGATACAGGGGTGTTAAGAGCTGATTTAGTCTCATTCATATAGCCTACCTCATTCTCAGGGGTGCTCTCTGGCCCTTCATTCAATACCTCAGCATTCTTAACTGGCCCTCATGAATCACAGTCCATAGAATTGAAGCTCCACAGTTGGTAGATGTCAAACAAGGGTTTTATGGACAAATTTGGGGTCAGTTTGGTTAAATGGTACTGAAATTCTTTCTTTTCTTCTTGACTGCAGGTCATCTCAGGGCCTTGGTTTTAGAGTGGGGTAGTTAATATTCTCTCTGATAGAATCCCTATGTGCCAAACTTCAGAGCCTGGTGTGCCCAGGAACCCATTTGGGGACCTGGTGACTGGGGTGCTTTAGAGAAGTGGAGCAGGGAAACCTTCGGGCCCTCAGCAAGCAGAGGCCCTGAGGCAAGTGGCAATCCCACACAAATCTATACCTATGGGATTCCTAATGGGTGGAGGGACCATGATGTTGCCCAGCAGTGAAAGGCAATGTACAAATTTAACCTTTGGATTTATGACTCCATTTCTTTGCAGCAAATGTCACAGGAAATGTCAGGCCAAGGCTGAAGCTGGGTGAGGGGCCCATCCAGAAAGAGGGTGGGGTTGAGGAGGCTGGAGGACAAAGGGATTTAAGCCAGCATGAGACTTCAGGCACCTCACCACCTCCTAGGAGCCCTCTCAGATTGCTCCTTGCTTGCTTAGGTCCTCAGCACTGTGTCCTCAATTTTCCCCAGCCATTGTGACCTTGTTAATATGTGCTTTTGTTTGCCCTCCTGCCAGAGCCCAGATGGGGCTGGCTCAGGGACCTTCCAGAAGTTCCCCCCTTCCCAAAGATTGGGAAGCCATAGGATCAGCTTGTGAAGTATTGGCTGGCTGTGTGACCTTGGGTAGCATCAGCCTTCCCTAGTAACTGGAGGCCTCATCTATAAACCATGGCTGTTGACCAGAGGTGGTGTTCTTAGTTCAGTGCCTTTATGAGTAGGAAACACTCCAAATCCTGGCATTATCAGGTGTGGGGCTCTGGAAGAGATGGGTGGGGCTGGTTGCAGGGCCAGGATGAAGATTGGCTTGTAGCATCCCACAGCAGTCCCAGCACCTGGAGCAGAACTCACACTGTAGGTGCTCAGTAAAAATAGTGAGTGAACATCGAATGCAGAAAAGGTCTTAAGCTGACTGGGAATCCATGCCATCAGAGTTACTTGCCCCCTATTCCTCCCCCATGCCACATCCAGCTTAGCCTGTCTTGTCACTGGGCTCTGCACTGGTTCTCAGATCTGGAAGGTTGGTCAGTGAATGCTGACCAACTACCTGCCATATGTGGGACCTATACAACCAAGAAGAGGGTCTTCAACTCCCTGGGCTACTTCCTCCTAGCAGCTCCACATCACTCCTGTACACAGCTACACTCCACTGGGCATCCAGGACCCCCAAATTCAGTCTATGTGATATCATATCCTTTGTATTGGACATCCAACCCCACAATCTTGGCCTGCCCACTCTACTAATCCCCAAAGACAGATTCATTGTACAAAGTCTGACCTTCTCCCTGTCCATTCCCTTTTATTCCTCATGGCAGGCCTGCCTTATTAGATCACCCCCTCTACATCCTGGCTCAAGACCACACCCTGCTTACTATCTTATTTTCCTATAAGATGGTATTTTCCACCCCTCCTGCCTAAACCCTCCCAAGACTACCTCTAAGTGAAGCCTTTTCTCCTTACTTTCAGGGCCTGGGCCTGAAGGTCTCACGTAAGAAGCTTTTCTTCCACCTTTGCTGGGGGAAGCTCCAGGTGCTATTTTCTGTCACCCCATCTCCGTGTCTCCCAAACAGTCTAACCCTGGCATAAGAGAGCAGAGAGCTATTTGTGGGTAAAACAAAATATAATTCAATTAAATGAACATAATGATGGATGATGAGATATTTCATGTGTGTAATGCATCATGATAGAAATATTAAAATGATGTCACAATTCTATTGTAATGTCTCACACTTTGCAATGGTTAGAGTAAAATGTACTTCTGAAAATCAATAGTTGAATTTAATTTAAAATTACAACATTGCTTCAATTTTTATTTGTATATCTTAACATGAGAGTCTTGTAAATTATTTTTTAAATTCGACAATTTCCTCAGATGTAAATTGATGCAGTAATAGTAATATAAGCTTATTTGAAGATTAATTGATACAATGAATTTCTAATTATAATCTCTTATAAAGTGCTTAATACATAGTAAAGTGAAATAGAGATTAAATTCTTTCTGCTGAATAAAATGCAATGAGCAATCCAATTCCCATTATTTCCTTTTCCTTAAAGATAAATGCCAATTTTAACATCTAATTTTGTCAATGTCAAATCAGTATCTTTCAATATGCCCATTTAAAGAAAAATATTTTGATTTTCCATTTAGATTTTCTAAATCAGTAAATTTTTCTTTGCACTTATTTTTCTTTTTTATTACATGTATTTACAGTATAGAGAGCATAAATACTATATATTACACTAAATATATCATGCATTTCTTATTAATTTAATTTTTAAAAATATTTTAATGGAAAGAAATATGTGGCAACTTTAAATGTTGACCTTGAAAGTGAAATATTTTCCTAGTAATATAAAGTGTTATTTGGCCATTTTTTATTTTATGTTTTGTAGTATTTTAAACTGTGTAATTTTTATTTCCAATATGATAATTAAATCATTGGTTAAATATTGTGTTATGGGTTATCTTTCTTTTTTATTATAGGCTTCAGTTTAGAAATTATGATTCAAGTTAAATAATTCAACACAATCACAAATTTGTAGGATCAAAATTATGGCAACTCTACAGGATTTCAAGATGCTTTTAAAAAGCAAAACAAAATTGCAATAATAAAAGTTACTTAACACTTAACTGTAATTCTTGTGAGTGTCCTGGTAAAAGAAAGAAAATCATTCATCACTGTAGTTAAGCAGGACTTAGAGGTTAGAGTGCTTGTCCTCAGTGGTGACAAAGCAGCGTCACACTCTCCCTCCAGCCTAGCTAAAGCATCAGGTTTTCTTGAAGAGGCAGCCAGGATTACAGTGCTCTGTGTGCTGACACCATCTGAGTTCACCACAGAAGCAAAAGCATGTGATGTGAAGCCTACTGGATTTCCTGATAGTTTTCTCTGTCTTATACTAATGAATTTAATATGAGTAAATGGAGGTTTTGAGAAACAATAATAGGGATATGTTGACTCTTGGATCCAGAGCTGTAATAGTGTTTGAAAGCTATCCCTTTGGATCCCCTTACTGAATGACCAAAGTTCGAAAAAGAATTAAATTAATTTCCAACTGTGCTTTCCTTTAACTCAATCTCTAGAATCATGGCAGTTTTCCTTATTTTTAATAAGGAATTCAATCTAATTAGAATTACATATAAATCTAATCATTCAAGCATATTACCTAGAAGTTTTAAAACAATCATTTTATATTAAATAACAAGAGATGGGAATAAAGCTATAGTATGGCTACAGCCAATTTGTTATTCAGCAAAGACAAGCTTCTTCTTCATTCATGTTTCTGCTCAAATTCCTTTCAAAGACAGTACTAATCTTCAATATCTGATTTCTGGTTGTGATTTGTGAAACTCATGAATATTTGTGAAAGACTAAAATATGTGTAAATGCATAAAATATATATTCAGAGATACTACCACCATTCAGTGTTCTTGAAATGATTTACAAAATCTTTAGTCACGTTTTTAAAGCCTCATCTTTTACTAAGTACTTATCTTCACCAAGAGAGTACAGCACAATAATTTCTAAAAAATGAAGAGGAGTAGGAGGGGTAGGAGAGACAGAAGAGTGGACTTCTAAAATTTTGGAACTAGATTCAAAGAGAAAATTGAAAAGGAGAAGACATTTTTGTTGAAATTTTGGATATTAATGTAAATAAAGTTTACTAATAGGGATTTTAAAAAATAAGCTTTTAAGCAAAAATGTAAAGAGGTACAAAAAGACATGTAAATTATGAAAATCAGGGTATTGAACAGATTATACTTATTAATAGATTTATGATACATTTTTTTCAATTAAGTTTTTGCTGGGTCAAATCATGACCTTAATTAATATTTGAGGATCATGGCTGAAAAGGCCCTCTTTTAGCATAAGCATCCTATGTAAGTAAATGATATACAGTTCTGTTTATTCTATTATCAAGTAATGCAAACAATGGTATTTCTGATGGAAAAACAACCACCTTTCCTTGTGGTGTAGTGCACAGTTGTCCCTCTGTATTCATGGGAGAGTGATTCTAAGCCCCACCCCAAACACACACACACTAAAATCTGCTGGGATTCAAATCTATCATATACAGTAGTATTATATGTTTATATTATTTATTACATATCTTCCTGTATACTTCCAATCATTTTTACATATAATATCTCAACAAAATATATTTTTTAATATTGTTTAGGAACAAGTGTCAAGAATAAATGTGTGTACATGTATAGTTAAGATTCCATTTATTTCCAGATGTTTTCAAAATCATAATTGATTGAATCTACTCCTACATATCCCACAGGTATTCAGGACTGACTGTACTTCAAACATCATATAGTATTCTAATTATGACATTAAATGTTATAATTTTCTACATAAATATAGTATTTAAATAACCCCAAATTACTATATCACACTTCATATTTTATTATCCTAAATCATATAAAAATTAATTTAATTGGCCAGATGACTATAAAGAATGTTATTAGTACATGACTGACACTGCCAGATTCTTTGGATATGATGCCACGTTTTAAAGTTGATGTTAATGTCTGACACCCACAGTTAAAGCCTAGACAAAGAGTCCCTTAGTGAAGTTTTATTCTAATGTAGGAAACAGATATTAATTGTTAATGACACAAATAACTGTCAAGTTATACTTATAATAAGACTCTTAAGAATGCTCAGTGTCAATTACAGAATAGAATAAATAATGTCAAGAGAATCAAAAAAACTTATCAGAAAAATCACAATCAAATTAAGATTTCGTAGATGAGGAAGAACTTTTGGAAAAGAGGGGCAGGAAAGACATTCCACTGAGAGGGAAAAGCAACCATAAAAGCCTCTGGAGAGGATGAATAAGGATAGGTGTCAGGGATTAAAGTCAGCATACCTGCAATCAAGAGCTGCTGGAAACTGTGGCATTGAGGAGGCTGAAGAATACAGTAGGCATCCCAGTCAGGATTCATTGATTGAGTCCTTGAAACAGGGTGATTATATGATGAGAATGGAGTGTTCCTACAGGATAAGGGAAAATATTTGTGGTTTACATGGAATTCACATGAAACTGAAATTATGCAATGTCAGGATTTACAGGATTGCTTGGACCTATGTGAAAAGCCACAAAACATGGTTCCTATTGGTGACATTAGGTGCATTGGTACTAGTTTCTACATAGACTGTTATTCTCTGAGGGCACAACTCATATATTGTGCAATGTACATAGAGCTGGGAATTGGTTTCTATACTGGCATATAACACAAAGCTAATGAAATATATAAGAACTTGTGTTATATTCATATTAGAACTCTCAATGTTGCTGGGTTATTGGTGGAGAGCCACAGAACATGAGATATATCAATGTCAAGATAAGCCGGGTAGTGTTACCCTATGTGGAGAGCCATATAACTGGCATTTTATGTTGGCAAGACTGCCAATGTTTCTGAATTGATTCAAAAGTTTTGTCATTCCATAAAATTTTTAATGCTGACCATAACTTTCTTCTAGTTTTACTCTTATTAAAGTTTACAAATTTATAATACCATAAACTCTTCCACATCTATGATTATACCATACATTTATTTCTTGCATTTCTCTTTCTGTGCAAATGCGTGTGTGCATGTGCCTGCACACCTCTCACTTTCTCAGGGCTGGGAATTGAACCCAAGGTCTCACACATGCTGATCAAGCCTTCTACCACTGAGTTACACATCCAACCTGGGGTTGTGACTCAGCTAGGTAAAGCGTTTGCTTCGCACATGTGAGCCACTGGCTCAGCACCACATAAAAATAAATAACAAAATAAAGGTATAAAATTTTTTTTGAAGTAGGGTCTACCTAAAATTCCGTGACCTTGAACTTGAACTTGCAATACTCTTTCCTCAGCTTCCTGATAACTGGGATTATAGAAATGCATCCCCATATATTGCCTGTCTCTAATTTTTTTTTAAAAAAAATTAAATTTGCTTTAATTAGTTAAATTTGTCTAATTTTTAAACCAATTCTTTTACTTTGAAAAATTAACGTGTGAAATTATACGAAAATAAACTACATACTCATTTATATTGATTTATATAGATAAGCACCCATACCTCGCTAAAAGCTCCCTATAGTGAAAGTTGAGTTTTCTGCTTGTCTTGGCGGGTGGGTTCCTAGTAAGTGGCAGGCCTCTGAGCCAAGCTCCTTGATGGGAGACTCTGCCCACTGGTGTTGCAGCCAACCACAGACACTATTGCAGGGTTCCAGGCTTCTGAATTCAGACAATGCAACCTACTACCAGCAGCCCACAATAATTCTCCAAGGGAGGGCGCTCAGCTAGGGGGTTATATACCTCTTGGGTCAACCCTATTGGTTCACATTTATGCTAATAAGGATTTGGAAAAAGTAGCAACCCTATTGGTTCAAATTTAGGAATTGCTCCTGCCACCAGCCCCCTGAGTGAGGGCAGAGCACTTGTGCTTGTCCATTAGCAAGTCCACCAGACCAGGAGAACTCCAGAATATGGGAGGAGGAGGAGGAGCTGCCACCGCCTCGCCTCTGCCAGGAAGCTGCAGGAGCGCAAGAACTAATGGCGCCCCCAACCGCAGAAGACAAAGCCGCTGCTGCAGCTAGAGCTTTTAAGCCAGCTAGAGGTGTAGGAACCACTGCAGTGCGGGAGCCAATGCTGCTGCCAGAGCATGGAAGCCGCTGCCCCTGCCGGACCACCAGAGTGGCTGGAGTGCAGGAGCCCTTGACTTAGCTAAAGCGCAGGAACCAAAGCCGCCCCCAAATCATGGGAGGAGGAGCCACTGCTCCCGCCGCTGCCGCTGCTGCTGCCGCCGCCACACCAGAGCATGAAAGCATCCAGTTCACAGGAGCCTCTGGAGTGCAGGAGCCAACGCTGCCACCGCCCAGGGAGAGTGGGAGCCGCTGGAGTACAGGAGCCAGTGATACTGCCATGAGAGCAAGGAATCTAACGCTACAGAGGTGATGGCGTCCAGAACTCAGGAGCCACCAACACTGCCCATAGAGCACTGGAGCTGCTGGAGTGTAGGAGCCAATGCTGTTGCAGCTGGGATGCAGGACCTGCTGCCACCAGAGCTCAGAGCCGCCAACTATGGGACCCAAGCCAAAGGAGGTAGGTGCTGGGAGCCCCACGGGGAGGGTGCAGGCGCCTTGGGTTGGAGGTTTGCGGCTTCTGGAGAGGTAATCTTTGGCGACAGGAGTTGCCACATTAGAGGTGGGCTCACCTAGGATGGGCATCTTCATCTGCAATGCAGGAAGTGTGGCCTGTTATTTTGGGGGTCTTGGGCTGGAGGTAAGGGTACCTTTGGTGTCTTCAAGCTGTGTGCAGGGGCAGATGCAGCATGACGATCCTTCAGAGGGGGACATTACCTTGAGGTGTCTGAGTGAGACTCCTATTTTGTGGAGGTACAGGTATCAGTGAAGAGATCTTAAAGGAAAGACAAGATCCTATAGATAGGCCTAGTGTGGGGGGTTGTTAATGTGGAAAGGGGATGCCTAAGGTGGCCCAGGCTTCAACAAAGGGGAGAGGTTGCATTTGGGACCATAAAGACTTCCTTCCATACCCCAACATTCTTACTCCTGGGGGACAACTCTAGGAGCCAGGAGGCCCCTTACTGAGGGTTCCAGGTCAGAGTGTGTGGACTGCTTCTTTGGCATGTAGGTTCTCCTCATACCTTGCTTCCTATGACAGGAAGATAACAGGTTTCTATTGTCCCACTGCCTTTTCACTCTCCCTTGGGTCAGACTGGAGCTTAGCCTGCCTCTGGATTCATAGCTAGCCACCTTTCAGTTCCCTGTAGAGGTTGGGAATGTTTATAGTTGTGGAGACTAAAGAGAGACTTTGCATGTTTGGACTGTGAGTGTGGGTAAACAAATATGGCTGTGTGTGCATGAGGACATGTGCCTGGAGTATGCATATATGAGAATGAATGTGCATCTGTTTGGAGATGTCCAACTGTATACCTAGGTATTGTGTGTATGTGTATCTGTGTGGATGAACTGTTTTTGTGAGTCTGTATTTGTGTGATGCATAAGTTTGTGGGAATGAGTAAGGCTATGATTGTGTGCTTGTGTGGTGTGTGTGTATTACTCTTCCCTTGTTGCACCCCGTCACTCAGCCTGGCACCTTGTTGCAGCTATGTTTGCATCTTGGGAGTTGGCAGCCCAAGAAAATGGGAATACAAAATAAAAGACACAGAATAGAGAAATGGAAAAAAAGGCAGAGGACAGAGTGTGGGGTAAAGGTGTGAACAGAAAGGGCCAGAGCATGTAGGGAAATCAGGGGCATAGGAAATGGCTCTTCCCAGCCCTGAGTGCTTCCATTTGGGCAGGTGCTGCAGCCACTGCCCAGAGGCAACATATGACATGGGGCCTCAGGTGCCTGTTTTCAGAGAACTCTGGGAGCTGGGAGTGTGCACCTAGGGGAAAGTTGGTATCATCCTGGATCCTGAGTTCTTCATTGGTTTGCAAAGGTGGTAGCAGCATTCCTGGGAAGATGGGCCATGAAAAGAGGTGTGGCTTGGAGCAGGAACTGGAGAACCTAAGGATAGTGGCTACCTGAACACAACCAAGAGATGATGGACCACATGATCTCAGGATTTTGGAGCAGCATGGAGGACCAGTGTGCAAAGGCCACCTGGAGCTCAGGTGCCAGGTAAAGACTGCACTCACCATCTGACACTCAGTCGATCTAGTGGCAGTAGTGGATGACATGGTTCCTTGGTTTAGCTCCTTGCTAAAGGAGGAAAATATTTTTGTGTTAGTAGGAAATGTTTTTGCTAGAGGCATTAAAAGAAGGAACTCTGGAGAGAACTAAAGAGGTTGTTCTCTCAGTTTGGGGCTGGGGTCTGGCAGAAGAGGAACTTCTGTAAAATCCCAAAGTATAATTCTCTGAACTAAGCCTCATGATTATTGACCTTTAGAGGTTTTACCTTATGTCTTCTATAATCAAGATCTTCTTAGAGGCCACACAAACACTATCTTTCTCAATTCCTTTTGCTAGATTAAATTTGAAAAATTTACTGAAATGTATATGGATTAATATTAGACATATACTTTAACTGAAAGATTGACACATTATGTAAAACTAACCCCCATTAGGAAATTTTTACTAATTTTCATAAAGCATATGACATGTAGACAGTAACTTCCATCTATTAAATTGTTCGTGAATGTGTTTAACCACTCACTCACAGGGCACATGCTGATTAAGGATCTGCACTCTAGCATTGGTTCTCCCAGGAATTTATTGAACATATACTTATTGGGTTCCAAAATAACCAGAGTTTATGGTAGATGGTAAATAGCAATACAACAGAAGAAACATTTAACTAATGTAATCTTTACATCATATGTTTACTTACATGGTCAGGGAGCACAGGACCATACTTCCAACTCATGTTCAAAGCTCTACAACTAGTGTACATAAAACTCTGAATCTTTAAAAAATAAGTCCAGCTATTTCAGAAATTTATATTAATGAGTAACATGGGATGCTAATTACATGTTGTCTGAATAGATGATCTACAATTTTTTTCTTCAAGGGAAACTAGAGATCGCTCACTAAAGAACCAATTTTGCTAGTCCCAAATTCAAAATATAACCAAATAATAGAAACTTTTCACTTATATAAAGAAGCATAGCATTCATCAAGATAACAAGTGGATATTTTTACATATGGGATTTATAATGACTTTTAAATTTGGAAGAAATATGAAACTAAGTAACATTTTTTTCTGGTAATTTTATCCATTTCTTCCACAAATACTTATTTAATACCTATTATGTGCCAAGCTTTGCGCCAGGTAGCAAAGATAATAATCATGATCATACTAATGTCTTGTCCTCAAAGAGACTAGGTATAGTGAGAAAGCAAGCATGAAATATAGTCACAGCGCAGTGTAATTCTCATATATAATATTTAACCCAGTTTCTTGAGGAGAGGTGATAAGAAAGTCTCAGAAACCAAAAAAGTATTTGAGGCAGGGGGTACAGTTAATGCAAAGTCTGGAGACAGAGTTCATGTATAATAAATATAACTAACAGCCTAAATTATATATGATAGATATTTGGATATGCTTGAAACTTCAAACACCATGTGATCTGTAAAGAGAGTTTTGTAAAATAGTTAAAAATAAAATTTGATTTTAAATATGCTGAATCCTCATTAAAGCTGTAAATGCCGTATGCTACTAAAACTCCATCAAAAAAGGAAACTAATAGAAAAAATGCTTAGTTTAGAAAATTATTACTTTCTATGCCTTCTGCAAAGATGGCTATAATTTTTGGGGGAGAAATAATAAATATTTAGTACATAATTTTAAAAGTTACACCCAGGAATATTGTCATATCTAGATTATACATACTGCATTTTGAATAATTTATTTTATATTGCAACAGTTACAAATAATAGTTCAACATTGGAATGTGGGCAAACTTTCACAATGTCAGTGGCAGGGTGGTACCTAGGTATCTCTGTATTGCATGGGCACACACAGTCCCAAACACAGGAGAATGGGACCATGGTACTGAAGTAGCATTGCTAGAGGTATTTCATCAATTTTGAAATACAGTCCAAACCCAAAACTGCTACAGTCACTAAGTTATTAAGTTCGATTCTGACATACCACTTTGTGCATGTTCCATGTAATGATTTTATGAAGAAATGCTAATATATTAGACTACAGCATTTCCTTTAAAAATAGCATGCTTTCAGTGTTAAGATTTGGACTGAAGGGTTTCTAATGGGCTCACTCAATGCCCGTACCTAGGAGAACAGAGTCCTTCAGTCCTTCAGGTCTAAGTACTGGGACAGGCAGGTTACTTGTACATATGTTGGTGCACACAATGACACCAATGACATAATTACATTTGAAATCTAAGCATTAAAATATTTGCAGAATTAAAATATCTATTATCCTAATATAAAAGGTTAATATTGCATAATCAAACTTAGGCTATAATAGTACTGGGGATAAATGTGTATTTTTAAACTTTTGGAAATATATAATATTGGCAGTTCTCACAACTCACTCATTGTAGATATTTGCCTGAATATTAGACCATTTTAAAGTAATAATGTGTTAACATAATACTCAATATGATTTGTATTTATTTCCAAGTATTATGGGTAAGGAAGGAAGAAAGAATAGATTAATCCCAGTTGTAAAGATTGATTGTCTGTATAAATTGGCCCCTAAGGGGAATTTTCCAGATTGGTTTCCTTGTTACTTGACAAGATCCAGTCAAAATCACATTTGTCTCTTTGTCATGTTACTTTAGCAGGGCAAGTTGAATGAAGGGAACAGGTGCCCATGTGTATGAATCAGTGATCATGGCAAAGCTCTTATTAGTTGTGGCAGGGCACAGGAAGGCATGAGGGATTAGCAGGAGCAGGAGCACCATGTTATTGATGAAGGTAATAACAAGGCTCTTGGGGCTACGTGCACTGAGGCCATAAAGTTTACCAGACAAGCACATAAGGATGTGTAGATACATTGAGGGGGAGCGACAACATGAATAAATATGAAGCACAGCTTCTAACCTGGTAGAGTTATTAAAAGTCCACTGAAGGAAGATGAAACATTTCAATATATTAAACACTCCAGGCTACTAAGGGAGAGTCGCTGTCACCACTAAGGCCATTGTTTGAGAAGTTTTTGTTGTCTCTGTTTTTAATTCTCTTTCTCCTTTTGGAAATTTGAATTTATTTTCACTCCAGCCACACATGAATCTCAGCTCTGTGCACAGGCTTGGAAAAGCAAAGAAGCACAGCCTTTCTGCATGAGCTCAGTTAGCCTCTAATTTCTAGAACTTGCTGATCATCTTGTAAGTCAACAGGGAGCCTGCAGTTAGATGTGCTGGCTGTATTTTAAATATTAATTTGCTTATCCATTTGTTCTAGTCCTCTGTACCAACTTCACTGAGCTCAAAGCCTTGCCATAGAATTGTATTGGGGGTACTGAGCCTTGAATGGCTCTGTGTGAAAGGAAGACAAAGAAGCAGTAATCCAGGCTTAACCAATATAATATGAAGGCAGAATGTGCAATTTTAAGTTACCCTGATGTCATTAATTTGGGAGCCACATAATCTGAGAAAAATAATTCTACATTTTCTGGAGTACAAAAAGCTCTAAATTGATATAGGCAACTCTCAATAATTTTGCTTCAAGGTTAAACCTCTTCCTTCTAAGGAAGGGTCACTGCATGATTCAATATTTTAAATTCTACTACAACATAATGACATTTTAGGGAGTGTTTACAAATGCACACTAAACTGCCATACTTAGAAGAGTAATTTATTTTAGTATCTAAATCAGCCTTCTTCAGAGGGCTAAGTAATTATTTTATGTTAAATAACACCTAGACACAGGCAAACAGTCACACAGAGGTAATCAGGAATCATTACCAAGGTGAAGAGAAAGGATGCCCACTGACCTCTTCAGGGACCACCTCTGCTGTCCTCAGATACTAGCACCCCCTTGCAAAAGAAAACAACCCAACATACCTGCATGCCATGGCAGCTTGTCCAATTACATGGCTGCTTGTAAGAGCTTATTCCTTCACTGTTTTTCATTACCTTATAAGCTGTTGTTTCTAAAATTGCCTGTGCCATGTTCTAGCACAAAATCTGACACTTCATGCATGGCTCCATCTTTGACCCTGGCTGCCAGGCTTGCCTGAATCTCTTAATGAGCATGCGCACGTGGATTCTCACATTGAGGGTCTCCAACTTTTGACAAGTTAGACAAAAGATCACTGTAATCTGCAATAGCATTTGGTATTGCTCTTTTTCTTTTATTAAAAGAATTATCTGAAATTTGTGAAAATTATGGAGCCATTGTGCAGGACATGCTGCCTTATTTAGACTAGAGATCCCTAAATTCTGTTCTGTCACAAAGGTAGAACTAGTCCAAGGACTCTATTCAGAGCTGGCTACAACCCAAATAAAACAAAAATAAATAAATAAATTGTTAAATAAAACAATTTAACACCATGTTCTATCCCCAAAAAAAGAAAACAAGTTCCTGCTCAGTGAACCTGAGAGAAGCAACTCTATTTAGACATGTTTATCATTAGCATTACTTAATGGAAGTGTAGATGGGGCCTAGGAAGGGACCCCACACTGCAGCATGGAATTATTTAATTAAGGCTCCAGCCATGAGAGCCAGGTGGATGGATCACAAGCATCAAGCAGCACCAATTAGAGAGCAAGGTGCAGTCTGGCTAACGCAGGGCACAGTTCTATGGGTTGTGAGACGAATACCACTGTGGGTCCTCACAGAAGTGGTCCCTCTAGCAGCAGGCATGTGAACAGTGGCATGGCAATTCTGTAGTGAAGCAGGAGGGCTGCTCTTTGGTTGAACACAGTACCTCACAAAGGGTCTTCCCCCATATGGAGTATGGTGATGGGGAACTCACTGCAGAGTGTCCTTTCCTACATGGACTATGTTGGTGAGGGGAACTCCCTACAAAGCATCTTTTCTCATGTGGACTAAAGTGGTGAGAGGAACTCACTGCAAGTTGTCCTTTCCCATGTGGACTAAAGTGGTGAGGGGAACTCGCTGCAAATTATCCTTTCCCACATGGACTATGGTGGTGGGGAGCTCACTGCTCTGCTGTAACCTTTGCTAGTCCAACCTCCCATGGAACTGGG